CGTGAGAATAAAGAATTCAAAAACATGTTTTGTTGTTTGAATCGAGAACATCATCCTCTCATGGTAGGGAAAGAGGAAAAGACATGTAGAGAGGATGGAGTATTGGCGAACACATGAAAAAAGGTGATCTACATGTAATTTGAATACTTCGACGCTTTCAAGAGTGCACAAAATTGGGCGTGACAAGGTTCACAACGCATCATGGGCAGTAGCTTGTTCCAGAGAATGGCACCAATGTATCTCTAGCAGAAGGACAGGGCCAGAAGGGTACGTACATGTACATGTACCTGCAGTAGGTTCTGACGTCATAATTCCGACAGAAGATACTCGAACGGCCATGGATGCAGCGACGAACGAATAACAGTGAGGTTTTGCATTCCGAATTTCGGTTCGGCGTGCTTCCGTCATTAATTTTGTCGAACATCAAATGCCGAATTCTTGAACGAAAGTTTCTTTTGCAAGTCGAACATCATGTGTTTTCATTTCGTGAGCTCGAGCATCAGCAATGTCCTGTCCTGTGTTCCTTTTCTTGCTGATTCCAACGAACCTCTGATCGTCCAAAGAGTCGAGGGCCGAATCTGCCACCTCAGTTGCCTCAGAAAAACTAACTACATAGCCAAGTCTAATTTTATGCATATCGCCTCGTCTTTTCAGCCACAAAGGTGATGGCGAGGACACTGCAGGCGAAAGGGAGTAGACAGGCAATGGATAGGAGCAATAGGAGGTACATGTAGGTGACGATGCAGATGTCGCCGAAGACGTCTGCGAAGCCATGCCGAGATAAGAAACCTCTTTGAATAAAACACACCCTTGGGCTCTTCCAAAAAACATTCATCCGAAAAATACTTTTCGGCAAAATGAGCTTTTTCCGAACAAACATGCCGAATCTTCGAGTGCATTTTCGACCTCGCTCCCATGTGCCGAATCTTTTGCCGAATTTCGAATGCAAAACCTCACTAATTATTAGAACTTTCGCTGCCAGGGTATCCAGTCAGTTAGGCACGTGACATTTCGTCGCAAGACAAATCGAGGTGGTCAATTCATCCAGGGACAATTCCCGACTGTGCGGTTTCACAGCTTGATTTGTTTCACTGCCTGACGCATTCCGCGAGTACATTTCGACGACTTTACATCTTCACCGCTGACCCTGTTGGCGAAGTTTACTGAAAACACTGTAAGCTCTGGATAGGAAATCCTGTCTCTTGGCTACTCAATCATGGACGAGCATCGAACTTGACGAATGGTCTTGTCAATGTGACCATCCCAGGAGAGCTCATTATCAACATTAACTCCAAGGTAGCGAGCCTGTGACACAATTGCTAGCAGTTTCCCGTCGCAACGGATCAGGGGCCATTCTGCACTCTGCTGCACACAGTGGTGTTATATGCAGGACCTGTGCCTTCGTTTGGTTCGGCTCTTTTAAGGTGGCAGACTACCCAAGAAATTCGCTGAAAATCGAATTTGTGAATTCATATTGAGTGCTACGTCAGTTGAAAGAGCATAAATAGCTGCAAATTCTCTGAAAATTGTGTCCCGATCTGACCAGCCGTTCAAGAGTTATGGCCAAAAATGTGCCCTTTCAAGGAAAGATTTTTTGTTGCATGCTGTCATTTGTTGGCAGCACTGTATTTGAATGTGAGCAGGCCGTGCGCAACTTGTCGTATCATGGAAACACGCGAAAGTGTCCAAAAATCACGTTTTTGAGCCACGGATTGGGCTGCACGGCGGCGGGCTTCGTGCAGCAGGACTTTTGCCAGCACCCTCGTGACGTTGCAGATATGTGGCTTGATTATTGTAGTTGACGTTGATTTAGTGACTTTGGCAAGTTTGAGTCGTGTCAAGAAGTCAGGTAGGATTCAGTACTAGGCAGGAGCGGAACGTGAGTGGTAGTCTTTGCCGGTTTCTGAGGGTATCCTGGATTTGGTGTGCAGCGCGAAAAAAAAAAAAAAAAAAAAAAAGCGCTGTGGAAATGGCTTGCTGTGGACGTCCCAGCACTGGATGTTGTATCAAAGGTACGACCTCGTAGAACGTGCTAAACCTAAAAAAAAATCAAAAATTGACTTGGGTCTGTGGGAGTCTGTGAGAGAACGCCCACTCGTTCCGTTGCGACAGATTGCAGGGCCACGTTGAGGGGCCCTACCCCACCACCCATGGCTGCTTCTGGACTTGTTTTACGGTTGGGTCCCGCGCACGGACAGAATGAGCACGAAAATGTGAAAAAATTGTAAATGCATTTGTTTGGCTCCTGGGTGGCTCGCACACCGTGGCACTATGCCGGAAATTTGAGTTTTTCCGGCCTGGAAAGCCTGTCAGTGAGGCGCAAGAACTTGTAAATCATGTCCTGAGGGCCAGCATAGTGGCAGGAGTGTGTGGTCAAAAGTTCACTCAAATCCATTGAGAAACGCCAAAGTTACGGTCAATTGAATGCCATATGAAATTTATGGGTAGGCTGCCCCCTTAATTAAGGGGGCACATCACCCAAAAATTCGCTGAAAAATCGAATTTGTAAATTCATATTGAGTGCCACATCAGTTGAAAGAGCATGAATAGCTGCAAATTCTCTGAAAACTGTGTCCCTATCTGACCAGCCGTTCAAGAGTTATGGCCGAAAATGTGCCCTTGCAAGGAAAGATTTTTTTGTTGCATGCTGTCATTTGTTGGCAGCACTGTATTTGAATGTGAGCAGACCGTGCGCAACTTGTCGTATTATGGAAACACGCGAAAGTGTGCAGAATTTTGCCCCAAGTCCAAAAAAGTCCAAAAAATCACGTTAAAAAACCACGTATTGGGCTGCACGGCGGCGGGCGAAGCCCGCCGCCGTGCAGCAGGACTTTTGCCAGCACCCTCGTGACGTTGCAGATATGTGGCTTGATTATTGTAGTTGACGTTGATTTAGTGACTTTGGCAAGTTTGAGTCGTGTCAAGAAGTCAGGTAGGATTCAGTACTAGGCAGTAGTGAAACGTGAGTGGCAGTCTTTGCCGGTTTCTGAGGGCATCCTGGATTTGGTTTGCAGCGCTGTGGAAATGGCTTGCTGTGGAGGTCCCAGCACTGGATGTTGTATCAAAGGTACGACCTCGTAGCACGTGCCAAACCTAAAAAAATTCAAAAATTGCCTTGGGTCTGTGGGAGTCCGTGAAAGAACGCCCACTCGTTCCGTTGTGACAGATTCCAGGGCCACGTTGAGGGGCCCTACCCCACCACCCATGGCTGCTTCTGGACTTGTTTTAGGTTTGGGTCCCGCGCACGGACAGAATGGGCACGAAAATGTGAAAAAAATGTAAATGCATTTGTTTGGCTCCTGGGTGGCTCGCACACCGTAGCACTATGCCGGAAATTTGAGTTTTTCCGGCCTGGAAAGCCTGTCAGTGAGACGCAAGAACTTGTAAATCATGTCCTGAGGGCCAGCATAGTGGCAGGAGTGTGTGGTCAAAATTTCACTCAAATCCACTGAGAAACACCAAAGTTACGGTCAATTGAATGCCATATGAAATTTTTGGGTGATGTGCCCCCTTAAGGGGGCACATCACCCAAAAATTCGCTGAAAAATCGAATTTGTAAATTCATATTGAGTGCCACATCAGTTGAAAGAGCATGAATAGCTGCAAATTCTCTGAAAACTGTGTCCCTATCTGACCAGCCGTTCAAGAGTTATGGCCGAAAATGTGCCCTTGCAAGGAAAGATTTTTTTGTTGCATGCTGTCATTTGTTGGCAGCACTGTATTTGAATGTGAGCAGACCGTGCGCAACTTGTCGTATTATGGAAACACGCGAAAGTGTGCAGAATTTTGCCCCAAGTCCAAAAAAGTCCAAAAAATCACGTTAAAAAACCACGTATTGGGCTGCACGGCGGCGGGCGAAGCCCGCCGCCGTGCAGCAGGACTTTTGCCAGCACCCTCGTGACGTTGCAGATATGTGGCTTGATTATTGTAGTTGACGTTGATTTAGTGACTTTGGCAAGTTTGAGTCGTGTCAAGAAGTCAGGTAGGATTCAGTACTAGGCAGTAGTGAAACGTGAGTGGCAGTCTTTGCCGGTTTCTGAGGGCATCCTGGATTTGGTTTGCAGCGCTGTGGAAATGGCTTGCTGTGGAGGTCCCAGCACTGGATGTTGTATCAAAGGTACGACCTCGTAGCACGTGCCAAACCTAAAAAAATTCAAAAATTGCCTTGGGTCTGTGGGAGTCCGTGAAAGAACGCCCACTCGTTCCGTTGTGACAGATTCCAGGGCCACGTTGAGGGGCCCTACCCCACCACCCATGGCTGCTTCTGGACTTGTTTTAGGTTTGGGTCCCGCGCACGGACAGAATGGGCACGAAAATGTGAAAAAAATGTAAATGCATTTGTTTGGCTCCTGGGTGGCTCGCACACCGTAGCACTATGCCGGAAATTTGAGTTTTTCCGGCCTGGAAAGCCTGTCAGTGAGACGCAAGAACTTGTAAATCATGTCCTGAGGGCCAGCATAGTGGCAGGAGTGTGTGGTCAAAATTTCACTCAAATCCACTGAGAAACACCAAAGTTACGGTCAATTGAATGCCATATGAAATTTTTAAGGCCACGGCCCTCACGCCAGGTTGCCAGATTCTTGACGGCGGTGATCAGGGAGGTGCATGCCACTGCTCGACTCCCACAAGCCTCGAGGACGACATCATGCGCAAACTCTTGATGGACGACAGGACGTGGGATGCAATTGTGGATGTCGCGAACACACAGTGTGGAAAGATGTAACAATCTCCCCTCTGTTACAAGAAGGGAAATCCCCATTTACCCAACAACTACTCGCCCATCGGCCTTCTTGGCGTCACGTGGTTTCGAAAGAGTTCAAATAGATCGGGGCTTTGCTGACCGTGGAGGCTATAGTAAGGAGCACTGCGTTCAAGCACAGTGCGTCGACCACCTTGCAACATGCTGTCAACCAAACAAAGTGTACATGTACAATGTACTTGTATGTAGTCGATAGCCATGTGGTTAAAAGGAGGCAGAACACAACGTGGCAAGGATTAACTATTATTGCGTCGACATTTCACCGGTGCACACCCGGAGTAGCAACCTCAGGAAGGCAAAAGGCACTAAAGTAGTGAACTTACTCCGGTACACACCTGGAGGTTAGTTGCTAGAACTAACTATGAACTAAGGAAACAAAGGCTGGCTTTTAGAGGTAGACGGCGTGAGGGGCAATGCGTACCAGAGCAGTGGGAAGGAAGAAGAAAGGTCAAAGTAGGTACATTTATGCGTGGACAGAAGATTGGCAAAGAAGGGGGAGAAGCTGAATAGAAAGGTGGATAAATGGCAGGCGGTTGAAAGGGAGAGTTGTATAGCGTACTGCAAACAACAAAATCAAAAAGTTTGGCTACATGTAGGTGACGAAACAGATTAGTGAACGAAGTACAGCCGATTACATGAAAGCAATGGCTGCAAGGCTGAATGGAGCAAAGGGGCGGCCAGTACCCAGGCAACAGTCCATGCATTCAATGGTGCGACGGGTAGAACAAGCAAGCATGTGAGATAAATGGAAAGGCAGCAGTGTACATGTCAGCTGATACTAATGAGACAACATGTGTATAGAGTTACACTACAATAGAAGAGGTAGAAGTAGTTGGAAAACGAGTATAAAAAGAAAAAGAAGAATAACAATTCAGAACAGAAGCTACAAATTTTGCGAAGACTGAATATCAAGAAGACATCCAGGAGCGAACAACGAATACACGACTGACGGTACAACAAGAAGAACACTTAGACAACTCCCCTAGAATAAAGAGGGTCAGAACCGGGTCTAACACCCATACGGTGCAGATGGTCGTAAAGACCGGGGCTCTACCAACCGTGATGGTTGTAGTAAGGTCACTGTTTCCGAACACGGTGTCCTCCACCTTGCTACATGCTGTCAACCAATAACAGGGACACTACATGTAAATGTACATAATTATACATGTACATGTATAATTATGCAATATCCCAGATGGAGAGAGAGCGAAGGAAATCACTGATCCGATCTAACGTTGCCAGTGTAACGAAAGTTCCTTAATGGTCGCAGATCTCTTTGACTTGCAGAAGAGATGGTGCCAGCCTCCCTGAGTTCGGAGTATGTGCGTCTCTAAAACTAGTTTCTCCTGTGTGAATTGAGATCACGTGAAAACCCTGTTTGATTGGTCCCTTACTTGTCGCTCTGCAAAGACCTTCCAAATAGCCAGGGATATACAAGCTACCGGAATTACTACCGCGATATCGGTAGTGAGCAATACCCAGACGTGATGGCTGAGTGCACTCTTGACCGTCAATTTTGGCGTACCACAAGGCAGAGGATCCAGACCCTGCAGGAGAATAAGTATCAATAGTGGTTGAGTAAGTGATCCGTAAAAGTGTGGATGCACGTTTCTTCGTGAATTGGAGGCTAGCCAGTTGGGTAATCCCGCCTACGCTTCTGCTATGTGTCGTATAGGCGAACCCTAGTGATGCTGGATTGCACTGTTGTAACTCCTTGAGGAGAACACGCACAGAAACAAATACAAGACTCGGAACAGGTCGAACCTCAGGAACAATCCACCAATATCACAAGAGTCTAAGTCATCCAATGATCATCAGACAATGCCTCCAATCTGTGTCCCCGTCCCCTCAATTCCCACAAAACCATACTTCGAAGTAGCATACTGTAGCACATACAATGTTGTAGTAGTTTTTTTGTGTTCCGATTGATTTTTACTTTTTATTTTGTGTTCCAATTGACTTACTAGCATCTAAATTGATTTTTGTATTTCAAAGTGGTTTACTGAATTTGAATTTGTTTGATGATATGTGCAATTCATTTTGCCCGAGCAAAAACAATGATAAATATTCATTTCAAAATGAGATAAAACTTATAAGCAAGCAACACAAATGGTAAGTAGGTTTGTGTTGTGTCGTGCACGTTGTGCCCTACAGTTGGGTTCTTTAAGCTGTGTGTATTCATTTGCGTAAGCCTGTGCTCTGGAAACAAAAGAAGCAGATAGTCGCACTGAAATTGGTTTCTTTAAACTTTTTTTCCACAGCTTGTTTCTCTCACTTCACAGTTTTCACATTCCGGTTGTCTCGCCCTCTCTTGCGCCACCTACTTGCCATTTGTGTTGCTTGCTTGCAAGTTTTATCACCTTTTGGAACGCACACTTTAAAATGATTGCTTTCGCTTTGCTTGCCTTCACTTCAGTCACGATATATTCGACTGATGATAGTGACATGAAAATCGATTCTGTAAACGTTTGACTTCGTTGATGCGTAGTGATGACGTCACAGTCAGTTCTATTTATTGCACTTATACTCGTGATGTACATGTACAGTGGAACCTGTCTAAGACGACCGCTCAAGGGACCTTCAAAGCGTGGTCTTTGTTACCAGGTGGTCTTTTATCCAGGGTCACTTAACTGGAAATAGCATCCCTTGGTCCTGCTTGCAATGGTCTTCTGGGACAGGTGGTCGCCTTATTCGAGTGGTCGCCCTGACAGGTTTTATTGTACATGTAGTACATAGTCTTCATGCATACAGTCATCATGCATACAGCCTTCATGCATACAGTCTTCATGCATACAGTCTTCATGCATACAGTCTTCATGCATACAGTCTTCATGCATACAGTCTTCATGCATACAGTCTTCATGCATACAGTCATCATGCATACAGTCATCATGCATACAGTCATCATGCATACAGCCTTCATGCATACAGTCTTCATGCATACAGTCTTCATGCATACAGTCTTCATGCATACAGTCTTCATGCATACAGTCTTCATGCATACAGTCTTCATGCATACAGTCTTCATGCATACAGTCATCATGCATACAGTCTTCATGCATACAGTCTTCATGCATACAGTCATCATGCATACAGTCATCATGCATACAGTCATCATGCATACAGCCTTCATGCATACAGTCTTCATGCATACAGTCTTCATGCATACAGTCTTCATGCATACAGTCTTCATGCATACAGTCTTCATGCATACAGTGACACCCTAACATACCTGCAATGTAGACACAGGGCCTTCCAACTTGTTTATGCGACCATGGACGGTGCGGTTCGCCTCAGCTAATTGCGACTCAAGGATGCCGACGTTTGCATTCAGGCTCGCCCGGATGGTGCGGTTCGCCTCAGCTAATTGCGACTCAAGGATAGCGACGTTTGCATTCAACGCTTCAAATACAGCTAGCGTCAGCCAACCTGTAGGGAGTAACACAAAGTGTCCTGTCGGGATCAACACTTTTAACAAAGTTTACTGAATGTGAGTCACATACACGTGACCGGATCAGGTTGTTTTATGCGTTCATCTCTGGACCACTATGACTGGACTATATGTACATGTACATGTACATGTACATCAGGGAGTCGTACTCAAACTGTTTGAGTACGACTCCCTGATGTACATGTACATGTACATCAGGGAGTCGTACTCAAACTGTTTGAGTACGACTCCCTGATGTACATGTACATGTACATGTACATGTACATGTACATGTACATGTACATGTACATGGTAATAACCTAACACTAAAAAACCAGTGTTAGATAAACCTTGTTATAGTTCACCGGGGCTCTGCCAACCGCGGAAGGTTGTACTTGTAGTAAGGACTAAGGTCACTGTTTCCGAACACAGTGCCCTCCACACACCTTGTTTCATGCTGTCAATCTAACAATGTACATGTACATGTACATGCAGGTGTTCGGATGCACTCATCACATGACTCGGTTGGATCTTCTTAATTCGTATGCATTCAACTTGTGACTGGATCAGGTCTTATGAGTTATGTAGGTCTATTGCAAGTTCCACAGAAGCTGAACGGGTATGATGACAGGGAATGACGGCATGTCAGTGACGTAAGCGGGTGACGTCACTAAGCGACACCCCGTAAAAATCTTCTACTGCACAAAGGCAACTTTGTTATTATCGTGACATGAATCCATGTTTGGCATGTGTGTCCAGCGATTGATTTACAGAATTGTTTCACATGACATTGAGCACATGGCGGGGCATACTTACGTGTCTGACATACGTCGCCGGTGTAGCCAACTGAGCAGTTACACGAAAAACTGTTGAATGCGTCGATGCAGCTCCCGCCATTCTGACACGGCTCGCTGGCACACTCGTCAATCTCTGCAAAACGTTAGTAGACGAATGAGATACACTGTATACAGTCAACTTCGCCAATAACGACATTCGGCGGGGCATCAGAAAAGTGTCCTTATTCGCGAAGTGTCCTTATAACCGAAGTCCCATTTGAATGTATGTGAACCCATATTTTGTATAGTATGACATGCATATCAAAATCAAGCTCTTTTCTTGCTCTATGTCAATGTGTACTTTATTTTCATATTGCAGTTGAAAGGAACTAAAAATTCAATATGCAAGGGAAATCAATTCAAAAATATGCCTTTTTGAGCCATCTACAGGGCCAGAGACATGTACATGTACATGTATGATGATTACTGTACAATCATGTACAATTACATGTACATAGTCATTGTATAAAAGGAAGAAAAAGCCCCCCCCCCCCCTTGGCTGCATTTTCTTGCATGTGTGCCTTTATAATAATAATATCCATCAGTCATCACCATAGGTTCTGGTACTTCTGCATGACAGGTACATGTACATGTACTTGACTGACAGGTACTTGAAATAGCTGTCAAAAGCCCAGAAAGTCGTTATTCAAGCAGTGAATATGACCTCGGGGCACTAAAAGCATGTCGCTATACGCGAATTGTCGTTATTCAGATAGTCGTTATATCCGAAGTTAAATGTATACAGTTAGATGGGACTTTGCTCTGGGCATGGAAATTCGGTCGTTATTCGCGAATTGTCGTTATATCCGCAGT